ACATGAAATGACGACTGTGTACTGAAGTTACAGAGACTGTCAAACACCTTGTCAGTGTATGGCCTACCTAGGCACAAACAGCATATCTTAAACGACATGATGGCATGGCCCGTTGCTTTTACTATCGTCTTCGCCATGCCTGAGGCTTTGATTCCGAGATCCATCCATGGTACGACCCTGAACAAGTCCAGGGCATTATGGAAAATGATGCTTTTAAACTTTTGTGGACAATGCCTATATACAGCCTCAGAAGAATTCCTGCAAACAAACCTGATCCTGTCCTTCTTGATCACGCAAATGAATGTATTTATATCATTGAATTTTCTTTCCATTTTGACAGCAATGTAAGTGGCAAGATTCAGCAAAAGCATGATAGCTATGCGGACCACACCTTTGAAATGTCTCGCTTGGATCCCAAGTACACTGTCGTCAGGCTGCCCATCGGTGCCCTTGGTTTGGTACCTCCTGATCTCTTGGTGCATATCAGGAGAGTGCCCGGGTTCACCACCGGGAGCACAGCCCTTCTGACACACTGGGTAATGCAGAAGCTTGCAGTGTTGGGGAGCCTTCATATTCTCCGGAAAGTTCTTCGTGGGTTCGACTAGGCAGTGTTTCCTTGGAGAAGTCCCATTCGCTGTCTGGGCTGCGTGTAGAGGGGGCGAGGGCCCTGAACTGAGGATGAGCCTTACCATCCTGACTGTGCAAGGATCACCCGAACCCTCTCTACTGCATTTTCATCTTTAATCTGTAAAATATAATAATAATAATAATATGGATTCTTATATTGCGCTAAACTCCCAACCAAAGTGTGCTCAAAGCGCTAACAGTATTCGTAGATATCACTTGTGTGCTTACAGTCCATTTCTATTGAACAGGTGGGTCTTAAGATGTTTCTTGAAACAAGCTAGAGTTGGAGTTGATTTCAGATCAAATGGGAGAGTGTTCCGTTCAACAGCAGCATTATATACGAATGATCTTCCGCCAAATGACTTGAGACTGATGTTAGTAGCATTTGATCACTGGAACGGAGAGTTCTTGTAGGGACATAGTCTTCTACTAGATGACACAGATAACAAGGAGCTGCATCATTGATACTCTGATAGGTGAGGGTAAGGATCTTTTGATGTATCCGTTCTTTGACTGGCACCCAGTGGAGATACCTGAGTACTGTAGTGATGTGACAGGACCTTTTGGACAGTGTGGCAATTCTAGTCGCTGAGTTCTGGATGTTTTGCAGCCTTCTGATTTGTTGCGCTGGGGCCCCTACAAGCAGACTATTACAATAGTCAATCCTGGCTAGGATCATTGAACGTGCAAGTGCTGCAGCTGTTTCTTCTGTGAGAAGGAGTCGTATGTTACCTATGTTTCGGAGGTGAAAATAGCATTTTTTGACGAGGTCATTGATGTGGCTTGTCCATGTTGAGTGATGAGTCTAGCTTCACACCCAAGTTTCTAGCATCTGTCGAAAAGTTGATTTCATCACTGTCCACTGTGATATGAGTTGCGTTGATCTTTTGCAGCCTTTTGTCAGGTCCTATGAGAAAAGCCACTGTCCTATCGCTATTTAACATCAGCATGTTGGCGTTCATCCAGGTGCTCATTTTGGATGTACAGTCTTCCATCGCACTCAGTCCTGACCTCTGTGACTGGTCATCAAAAGCAAAACTATTGTACAATTGCGTGTCATCAGCATAAAAATTATCATTAATGGCACAGTTTCTAATGACTTGAGAGCCAGGCTTGCTGTAAAGCATAAACAATACTGGGCCCAGTACGGAACCTTGGGGTACACCACAAGTCAAAAGAGTGTTGTCAGATGATGTAGCATTAATGCTAACTCTCTGGTATCTGTCTCTAAGATACGAGCGGAACCAGTCCAAAACAACGCCGTCTCAACCATATTCAGAATGAATTGGTTTATTAGCAAGGTGTGGTCAACAGTATCAAATGCCGCTGATAAATCTAACATTTCCGTCATCCACACTGGTCTTCAAATCGTTTCATACTTTATTGAAAGCTGTCCACTGAAGAATACTGAATCCACTTCTGTAAGCCGACCGTTACATATCAAGCAGGACCCGAGACTGAAGATGATCCAGGAATCTTGTTTTCACTGCTTTCTTTAAGATCTTGTATAAAAATGTCAGATTTGATATCGGCCGGTAACTTTGCAGTTTGTTGCGATCAAGATTAGATTACTTAATCAGCGGTTTAATGACAGCAGTTTTCATACATTTTAGGACTTGTCCTGAAGTCAAACTTAGGTTTACAATACCTGTAATAACAGGCAGGAGGCAGTCCAGAACTTCCAGTAACAACTTGGTAGGTAGGGGATCAAGTTGACAGGATGTTGGTTTGGAACTTTGGATCAACTTCAGTATTCACTGGAGTGAAATAGAATGAATACTTCCATGGTTACTGGAGTACTGTCTCTGTGACAGTATCTTGCAGATCTTCTCGCTAAAATACTGGTTGAACATTTGTGGGAGTTCACCGGCGTTTCCAGAATCTGGAAGAACAACATCTAGAGATTTACCAATCAAAGAAGACATGGTAGAGAAAAGCGCTTTGGATTCTGCAATTGGGACACAATGGGTTGGTTGAAATAATCAGATTTCAATCTTTTCAAAAGCGTGTTCACTTCAAGCTTAACTGAATTGAAAATCTGTCTGTCAGCCTCCAATTTTATCTTTCGCCACCGCCTTTGAGCCTTGCGCTTCTTGATTTTGGCCAGATGAACTTCACACGAATACCAGGGGTTTTGATGTTTTTTTCACCACATTACTAGTTTGGGTTGATGCGTGTATATCCAGTAGGTCTGACAGTGTGGAGTTGAACAAATCAGTGAGTTCGTTGACATCTGTAGATGGATTTGAGAAGAGCTCAGAAGATCTTATGTCATCCTTAATGATTTTCATGGATATTCCCTATATATTGCGGCATCGCACCCGTCTGTCCAGGGCATCCCACAGATGTTCAATCGGGTTTAAGTCCGGTGATCTTGAGGGCCAGGGGAGCACATTGATGTTGTGGTTCTGGAAGAAGTCTCTTGTGTGACATGCTGTGGGGCCTGGCATTGTCCTGTTGAACAACTCCCTCTGGCGATAAATGATTGGAAGGAGGTGTGGGCGTAGAATTTTGTCACAGTACCGTTGAGCTGTCAGGTTGCCCTGGATCATCACCAAATCACTTCTCCTACGGCAGGTGATCGCTCCCCACATCATAACACTGCCCAGGCCAAATCTGTCCACCTGAACCAGATTCTACGCCAATTCGGTAGGTTCCAGGCCTGAACGTTGGTGCACCATTGAACTCAATGTCGACGATGTTGTTGTCGAAGCACAGGGCCAAAATAAGGTCTTCTGGTACGTAAACCAGCCTCTCTCAACCCATTCCTGACGGTTTGTGCAGAAAGTCTCCTCAATCCGGGTATTTGTCGAGCGGTTCTGGTCGCCGTAGCTGTTCGATGATGCAGGTGATGTACCCGGATGTAGCGATCCTGCGCCGCAGTGGTCGCTCGAAGTCGCCCACTACGAGGGGCATCTGCTACCGAATTCTGCCGGCGACATCTCTCCCAAAGCAGAAAAATAGTGCTTTGTTGAACATTCAAGCGTCAGGCAACTGCACGTTGAGACTGGCCAGCTTCAAGCAAACCAATAGCGATATGACGGTTGGCTTCACATAGACGTGGCATTTTGCGTTCGTCAACAATATTCCAAATACAATGAATAATTGACAGACAGTGATAAACCTTTTATACCCATCATTGAGACTATTTGATCCCCAACTGTCACGTGCATTGCATGTGAATTGTGTATTCTGTGACACTACACGCCGAAATAGGAAATCTTGCTGTTAAATACGGGTATTGTACGGATGGTGCGTTTTGTGATGTTTCAAAACATCAACACCATAGGACTCATAAACAGAGCAAAACCTTTTGTAAATGGAATCAAATTTTAATTCATTGCTACATGGAATTGCTATTTTCATGATGCGTTTCTTTTTTTGGAGAGTATATAAGATTGGTCTGATTGATCACATCACTCTTATCTTCACATGTAAAAGACTTCATGAGATAATTTGAAATTGATCTATCTGTTACGACCTACAATTGTAGGTTAGCATGAGTCCTCCTTTTGTAAAATGTTTGTTCCCTCCGTAACGCGCATATCACTTGTTGCACACGAGTGACCAACGCGACTCACACCAGTGTACAAACGCGTGTCATACGCGTGGCCCACGGATTCCACATTAGTCACTAACTCGTCTCACGCGGGTTGCGTCACGGGTTGCTCACGCGTATAAGGGGAATGAACTTTTAGGCAGTAGTGTTTGGTCTTCGTAACTATCATTTATCTGAACTCACTCACTCTATTGTAAACGTTGTCAAATGTGAACCTCAAGAATATACTCACTGAAGCTGTTCCCTGTGGTATTGAGTCCCATCATAACATGAGATTGATAAACTCATAAACTCACTACCACAGTTTGTAAATCATCAATTCTTATCAAGTCAATCTATTGTTTTCGTCTTTTTTTCAATTCAAATAATATCTGAAAGATGAACTATAAATGAAAATGCACTACTTGGACCGATCCACCAAAGGGGAAGGATATCGTTATACCTATCACATGTCATTGAACAGATAGCAGTACTGTGGGAGTATGTATACTGATCTCACCAGGGGAATATTATGGTGATGCAAACAATAGTATTGATGATGATAGTTCTTTTTGCTATTCTGTTTCAATGTAATGACTGGGATTCAGTGCCGTTGGGAATATCCATCTGATATGTGATGCTATGAGTATCTCTTTCAATACCCCCAACGGTATACAGTTACTGTGTGGAAAACTGTCCAAAATGAACATTTACATTCATACCGGACAGAAAAAAAAATTGGGTTATAATATTACTGCCATAATCTTTTATAATGTATTTTTATGTCAAATAGAACTAATGTTTCCTTTTCCCGAATCGTGTGTTTCAGATACTCATGACTGTGAAGACTACGTGCTACGTAATTCTACCTTTCCTTGTCACCGCCATCTTCATCGGATCGATGCTTCTTCCAGATTTTCTCCATTCATACCACAGGTAATTTATAATATGTTCCTACTGATTCCAAATAATATATGTCAACATCGTGTATGGTTTTAAGATATTTGGGCCACTGGATGGTGCATATGTACGTGAAGTATACTTCCATGGGCGTGGATGACCCCTTTGTCTAAGTTGTGGCGAGGGCATGTGTTAAGAGATCTTGATACCAAAGCTAGATTCTGCCTCGAATTTCTAGTTTACATGATGAGTGTATACCAAAGTCCTCTACGACTCTACATGTACGAAAAGCATGGTTTAATACAGATTGTAGACACGCCAGAAATGCGAGGAGAAAGGCAGAGCATTATTTCCGCAATCATCCAACTGTCCATAACTTAAATTTAAAAAACTCAATTCAAGGGCGCTTCGTACCTTCAAACAAAACAAACGGAAATCTTGGAGAAATTATGTCTCCAAAATAAATTCATGCACGCCTATGTCTATGGTGTGGAACATGGTTCAGAGAATAAAAGGCAAAGGTTCAAAATCGGCTGTTCACCAGATGGTGATAATTCAATAACTGACAAATCTAAAATTGCAAATAAAATTGGCGAAACTCTTGCCAAAAATTCATCATCGGCAAATTATGTCCCTGACTTTCAGAGATATCAGAAACAACAGGAAAAAACAAAACTGAATTTCGAATCAAATAACGGTGAAGATTATAATAAAGTGTTTTCATTACATGACCTACATACTGCCCTTGAGCAAGCTCATGACACTGCAGCGGGTGATGACAATAATGAAACACTTACCTGAACCATGTCTGATGACACTTTTATATATATTTGACCAAATATGGACGTCTGGGGAATTTCCTCCTTCATGGCGTAATACCATAGTAACCCCAATACCAAAACCTAGTCGAGATCATGGAGAGGTTGTGAATAATAGATTAACTTGGTATCTTTAAACCAATAAGCTTATATCAAATACCCAATGTGGTTTCAGGGAAAATCGAAAGTACCACTGATCATTTTGTCCGTTTAGGATCCTTTGTTAAAAACGCAACAGTAACTAAACAACATGCAGTATCAATATTCTTTGATCTCGAGAAAGCTTATGATACGACCTGGAAGCATGGCATTTTGAAGGATTTACCTGACTTCGGTTTGAGTGGTCGTTTACCTCTTTTTATATCACAGTTTTTAAGAAACGGGCAATTTCAAGTCCAAGTGGGTTCAATCCTGTCTGACCATTACAATCAAGATCAGGGTGTCCCTCAAGGCAGTATTTTGTCTGTCACTTTATTTAGTATCAAGATCAACAGTTTATCCAAGTCCCTTTAACGATTCAATCGATGGATAATTATTTGTGGATGATTTTAATATGTCTTGTCGGGGTAAAAATATGCATACTACTGAACGGCAATTGCAGTTGTGTTAAAATAAAGTAAATAAATGGTGTCTTGAAGAGGGCTTTAAATTTTCTAGGTCAAAAACTATTTGTCTACACTTTTGTAGAAAATATAAGCCGCATAAAGAACACTTCACAAAATGTAATTTGAAAAATAATGAATAATTTTTCTCTGATGATATATCTATGTATCCGAAATGGGATCCCTATCTTTCGACTTTAGAAAAACGTTAGTAAACCCCACTAAAACCCATCCATTCGTCGTGCAAATGACGTTAGTGCCAAATCAGGGTTTGCACGTGCAGTCGATCACGTGATCTTCGCATCAAAGGTTTCTTCATATGCACGTGTTTGCTTTGGCCTCAAGAATTGAAAAAAACACTTTTAAACCACAGTTCTAACGGTACTTGAAATGCCACGATTGTCAAATGTGCAACGTGAACGTGCGGTTGGCATGTTGCAAGCGGGAAGATCAGTTATTGACGTCGCAAGAGCAATGCAGCCGTCGTACTGTGTATGACTTGCGAGGTCGTCTACAACAAACTGGCATCACTTCTGATAGCCCAAGGTCGGGTCGTCCACGTGTGACGTCACGAGCAGGAGACCGTCAAATCGTCCTACGTCACCTACATGATAGATTTCTGCCAGCTACACGAACCAGGGCTGAGATGTTTAGAGGTCGACTGTCCTCACAGAGACCATTCGAAATCGGTTGCGGACTCCCAATCTCCATTCTCGACGTCTATATCGTGGACCAATATTATCATCAAAGTCAACGTCTGCTGTGGGCCCAACGTCACCTCCGATGGACCCAGAGAAACTGGAATCGAGTCGTCTTTAGCAACGAATCCAGGTTAACCCTCAGATTCGCGGACGGCAGGCATAGTCTGGAGACGACGTCATAAACGGTATGCACAATGTTGTGTAAAGGAAGTCGACAGATTCGGGGGCAGAAGTTGCATGGTGTGGGGTGCTTTCTGTGGGTACAACCATTCCCGACTTCTGGTCATCCGTGGAAACCTCACAGCTGCTGCTTACCGCGACCAGGTGCTCAACCCAGAACTCGTTCCTTTCATGGCGGCTCATGGCCAAGGTGAACAGTTCCAGCATGATAATGCTCGGCCGCATACCGGGCGATGTTGACACGAAATTTCCTTCAAAATGCTGGAATCAACGTCATGGACTGGCCATCGAGGTCCCCTGACCTTAATCCAATAGAGCACGTTTGGGATGCACTTGGGAGAAGGCTTCGTGGTCTAAGGAACCAACCTCAGAATTTGCGGGAACTTGGCGCTGCCTTGCAAGAGCAATTGCACAGAATCCCCAACCACGACTTCACAAGCATCAGGTTGTCGACGAGGAGACGGTGTTTGGCGGTGGTGAATGCGTGGGGCGGCCATACACGATATTGAACAGAGAAATTTCGCATTTTCATTCTTGTGACTTGACATTCTGTATACCCATGTTTTGGAACAGCGGTGTAGCCTAATGGAACTGATTATGGCACTGTCAGTGTATCGAGTACATCTCACAGATCTCAGCAATGAAATAATAACAATTTAACCATCTCACCATCTCTTGTTCTTTTATAGTGCCCTGAAGAACGAATGTGAAGTTGTTTTTTTGACTCAGTATATCTTTAAATGGCACTCCCATCAAAGATGTAACGGAGGCCAAATTCTTGGGTCTAATTTTCGATTCTCATTTAACCTTCTTGCCACACATTAAATCTCTTAAAGCTAAATGCCTGAAGGCACTAGATTTGTTAAAGATTGTTTCAAATTCAAGGTGGGGAGGGGATCAAACTACCCTCCTTCACTTATACAGATCATTGGTGAGATCTAAACTTGATTATCGCTCCGTCGTGTATGGTGGATCCTGCAAAAGCAACATAAAACTACTTGAATCTGTCCACCACCAAGCCCTGAGACTTTGTCTTGAGCATTTCTAAGATGCCTAGCGGTTAGAACAGTCGAAAGAAAACATACATTATCAGACAATAAAGGTATAGTTTTTTGATGACGTAACAGTTGAATGACGTTATCCCGTCACTGCGCCACTCTAGTGTGCCCCCTCGTATTGGAACCATTTTACTTTACGTCACAATGTAAGCGACGTCACGATGCACGTCAGTTGTCATCGCCTCGTACGGCCTTCTACAGTAAACTACTCCGTTGCATCCCGTTTCTTGGTCTGTAGTTGCTTCACGCAGCTAACATCACTGGTGGAAACATTACGTTTATGTTTTACGACGGTTAATATGTTTCAATTCGACTCACACTTTTCAGCGACACGGTAACGTTCCCAATGTTTACGTTCCCACAATGCAATCATGGAATGTCGCTTGACTACTCAGCTTCGTCTGGATGTACTGATCTAAACTTACGTTGGTAGTAGAAATGCGACGTTAATATTGCCCAATATGGTTTACGTTAATGACAGATGTAATTAAAATAATTCAGAGAAGATATTTAATCCGAACATAAACCGTCATCAAACTCTTATCATCTTTTTTTTTTCTGGTAACGTTCGTCTTAACGTAGGAGGACAGACTCATCAATAGAACAGCGCGCCAGTTAGCCCTGTAAGGATTCTTAATTTAGGGCTCCAACACCGTCGTTTGTTTTCTGCCTAAAAATTAATCGTAATTCTGCTTAGAAAGTATTATATTTGGCATCTTAGAAAATAAATGCAGTTTGCTCTACCGCCATGTATAGTGTAATAAAGCACCTCGTACTTTAACTATAATAGTTCAGGGCGAAAGTGTGCAATATTACACTATACATGGTGGTAGAGGGAACTGCATTTCTTAATTATTAATGTTTCCAAGATCTAAGAACAACAGGAGAGGTCAGATTCTAGTCAATTTGTATCTCGCATTTGCACATATCATCGCAGTCCAAAATTCAATCCCCTCACGGGCAAACAGTCTCGCAATCGTAACGACACAGACTTCAACGTTTAACTCGTTCGTGCTGGCTCTGTTAGTGCTACTGACTATAAAGTATGTGCAACATTATGCTGTATCAGAGTACACCATGACTTGGAAATTCGCAAACCACATCGCACTCATATTTTCCGCTCACTTCAAGCATCCGTACACAAGGGAGCTAACTCCAATGTATCAAACTGTCAACAGCTCAAGAAACCTGCCGTTACATATATAATGATATAATATTTTTATTTGCAGATGGGTCTAAAGGTGGTGCCGCAGTAGCTGGGCCACTGTCATTGGATCGAGAACAATATCCTCTCGATTGCCTGATAACAGATCTATTTTCACAGCAGAAGCTAACGCCATATTAACAGACTTAAAATATCTTAATAAACACCCTAAATATAAACAATATGTCATCTTTTCTGACTCTCTTTTGTGCCTTCAGGCTAGTAAAAATCTTTCTTGTAAACATCCACTTTTAATAGAAATTATAGAATTATATAATGATCTTGCTAATGGCCAAAGCGACCTAGCTGAGCTTACTGCCAAGGCAGCATTCAACAAATCTGTGACACCAATTCTTATTCAATACTCTGATTACAAAGCTAGCATTAGAACTTACATCCGTGATCTGATGCAGAAGAAGAGGGACACCCAAGTAGGCAAAAATAAACTACATGAAATAAAACTCTATATTGGTTACACCTACTTTGGTTGTCAGTCCAGATTTGAAGAGGTTATCATACGACGATGTAATCGTATTTTTCGCGCTAAAATGTTTTGCCACACATGATACGTTTACAGTATTCATGAATACCTATTGAAAGGTGAGGATCCTCCGTTTTGCATCCCTTGTGATGAAAGAGTCACAGTTAATAGTGTCTTCCTTGACTGTGTTGAATACTCCATCAGAAGGGATAACTGTTTCAGGTCACGAACTATAAAGGATCTTTTTCAATAATATCAGTTCTCATTTAATTGTTGAATGTTTAAAAGAATTAGATCTGTAAAATGATTTGTAAATAGTTAAATATTTTATGAATGGAAGTTTAAATTAGTAACTTAGATTGTTAGTGGCTGTATCTTCAAGGGAGATTAAAGTACTGTTAGAATTATTGTCCTCCTGAGAGGGTACCTAAGTCCCAAAACTTTCAAAGTATATTTAAACTTACCAACTTTTTTAAAACGTAGTATTTTTGTTATTTTAATTTTGGCAAATTTGTCCTACAATCGCCAGCTGCTGAAGGGATGGTGTAAATCCTGCTAAGGAGGGTTAAAACTATTATCCTAATGAGAGGATACGTAAGTCCCAAAACCATCAAATGAAATGCAAACTTACCAGATGTTGTTTTGTTGTTTTAAAGTATCCCTACAATCGCCTGGATGGTGGTCCATCTAGGGTCCATGCAGGTAGCAAAGGAACTGTAAGTCCCCGAGGTCCCTGGTATGGTGATCAGCCTTCAGTTGCTGGTGATCTATAGCCCGGTTTTATATTGTATTGTTGTATATAGTGATATATTTTTATGTTAGTGTACTAGTTTAAAATTAAGAGCTGTGATATTCCAGTAGTTTTACTGTCCTTCGATGACAGGTTTTTATTTTCTCAGTTGATTGTTTCTTATATTGATATGAATTACATTGTTCTCGTCACGATATGGCTGAGATATTGCCGATGTGATGTTAAATCTTAACTCACTCACTCACTCTAGTTTACAAATCCACATCGATATCCATGACACATCAACCACCTGCAGTATTTAGAACTATCCTACAAGACTGAACAAATGAAACACTGCCCATGTCAGAAAATAACATCCTTTATCATCTAATGGAGGGTGTTATCAGTGCAATAAAGCAATCTGATAAAGTTGGTATCTAAATCTGATAACTATGCAAATTACGTCAATCTACTAACTACTTTCACAAAACTCAATACACGCCATGCGAATCCTACAACGTTAACATTTCATTGATGACATCGAGCTTACATTGTTCCCCCATTTTCAAAATTGGTAATTCTGTAAGAATTGAGGTTCTGGAGAAAACATGAAGCGGAGTAATTCGTTCAAACTGAAGGTATGGATTATGAGACACCACTGAAAGGCAACGTCTAAGGAAGGTACCAACCAAGGATTTCGATCTATCGATCACAATACAGACGACGAATCGATTCCGTTAGCTTTCAGAAACTGATATTGATGAGGTGATTACCCGCAATGAAAAAAGAAACGCAGCTAAGAAAAGCGTGCCCGATTTTGTTGTTCTTTTTAAGACAGAAAGATTTTACTTTAAGTATGAGTTATGTTGTCACTGTATTCGGGACTAGTCACAACCATATGCCGTCGTCATGAACGACTTTCCCTTTGGTGTACCGCTAAGTATTCTTACGCGAATGTTCGATTCTGTTCAAATAAAGTTACGTACGAGTTGCTTCTTTTTAGAGTAATTTTAAGAATGACATTATATGATAAAGAGATTATTAACTTCATGTAATTCCGTATCATTAATATCATACATTAGGAATAAACATGTATTTTGCTCGCCAAAGCCCCGCATAATACAATTTTTATTCCTAATATATGATATTTATGATACGGAAACACACTTGGATAATAAGCACTATATCACTCATTCATTTATCAAAAGTTTAAGCGGGGACGTGAAAAACGTTAAACCATCAAATTAAAGATTCGTTCTTCAAACATTTCAGAGTTGGAGCGATCGAGAAGACCACAAAGTTCGGATACAATGGACACCAATCCAACCAATCCAGGATACGTTACATCATCTACCTCTGTGACGACGGACAAATCTTGTGGAGGATGGGCAGACAGACAACGAGGCATAGCAGCTGCATATCTTCTAGCAATTGTAACAGGACGACGGTTTGGAATCAACATGACCTACCCATCTGATATTAAGCTCTTCTACATCCCGAATATTGTCGACTGGTATATCAGAGAAAGCAAACTTCAGGGTTTAAGTAAGGAATATCTCCGATGGATGGACAATAGAAAGGGGCCTAAAGACGTTAATGGTGACTTCAACGTCAAGCACCCAAGTGATGTCATATTTTTAAGAACAAATATGGATATTATCACACTGATTCAAAAGAGTCCACAATATGGTCATCTATGTTCCAAAATGTTTAGAAACCCCAACCGTGGCAAAGTGTTTCACATAATTTGGCATCTTCTCATGAAGCCTTCTCTTCATTTCGAGGAGCGAATCGATCTGTTTATGAATAAATTACCAAGAACAGATGAATTAGTCTGTGCCCATGTAAGAATGAGGAGAAATCCAACCATTCCAAACGATGGAGCTCAGATCAATTCCTTATCCACTGTCAAACATTTATGGACGTTTCTATCTAAATTCCAAAACGCACGTCGTGTTTTCATTGCTAGTGACTCCATGGATGTACGGAAAAGTGCCAGGAAATATTTTGGCGCCAGAGAAATTGACATTGGGGGATTTGTGCTTCATGTTGACCGACAGGGAAAGAAACCCAATGCAGTTTGGGGCTTTGAGATGGCTCTGCTGGACCAGGCTGTTCTAAGTCGCTGTCAGGTTCTCGTTGTTTCAAAAAGCGGCTTCAGTGTCAGGGCCGCCATGATGTCACACCTGGATCAAGAACTTTATGAGTTCATTAATGGCACGGTTACTCCATATTTTCGACTGAAATCAAAGGTGTTCTAGAAGGCATTTTTTTTCGATTACCTGCAGCTGAAGTTACATTCCAATCATTCCAGTTGTTCTCTGATAAACTGAAGAATATTCCCGATGAAATAATTCCCAAGTACTTTCGCCGTCAGTTCACAATTAAAATAATGTAAAAATAAATAATGCCAAGACTCGACGTAATTTTAAACAAAGTAAATGTCAATCTTGGAAAACCTTGTTATCACAATTAATTCGCGTAGAAATTCTCGCATTTATCATCTTAAAGATGGACACAATATGTTAACAGATACACGTTTGGTGAAACTTTAATTACTCATTCCCCTTCATTCAATAATATTCCAAAGTTTCAGAAATATATAAATCATCAAGAAAAGTTGAAAATTAACTTTCATTCAGCAAATGGTGAAGACTATAATGAAGTATTTTTACTGCAAGAGCTGAATACTGTCTTAGACGAAGCTCATGGTACGACAACAGGAACTGATAATATCCATTATTTACTCCTAAAGCATTTACCCAATGCATGTCTTGAAACACTTGTGAACATGGTTTATCATATTTGGATAACAGGGCACATTCATCCTTCGTGGCGTCATGCCAACGTTGTACCGGCCGGGATCATTCAGATCCATGAATCTATAAACCTATTTCACTCACTAGCTGCGTTTGCAAAACCATGGAGCACATGGTCAATAATAGATAAGTATGGTTTCCAGAAACTAATAATCGTATTACAAACATTCAATGTTGTTTTCGCAAATATAGAAGCACTATTTGCAATGTGGTTCGACTATAATCATTCGTTACAAATTCCATTGTAAATAACCAGTATGCTGTATCAATCGTTTTTGGCCTGGAAAAAGATTATGATTTAACATGGAAACATGTATATTTTAAGATATTTGGACGGCTTTGTTCTGAGAGGTTGTTAGCCTCATTTGATATCACAGTTTTTAGAAGAGAGACGATTTCAAGGTCGTGTTCGATCAACCCTGTCTGACCATTATAATCAGGATCAGGATCAATAATCTCTCAAAAGTATTAAATAACTCAATTGAAGGGTCTTTGCTTGTGGATCATTTCAGTGTCTCATGTCGTAGTAAAAATATGCACACCATCGAGAGACAAATACAGCTGTGTTTAAATAAGATTCATAAATAGTCATTTGAGAATGGTTTTTAAATTTTTACAAATGAAAACCAAATGTACACATCTCTGTTGAAAATATAAACCGTATAAGGATCCCGAACTGTTTCTAGATAGCCCTCCAACTGACGTTATAAAGGAAGCCGCCTTTTGTGATTAATTTTCGACAATCATTTCACCTTTTTACCACATTTCAATTATCTGAAACCAACTGCCTTTTATCCACCATTTAAAGCCGTCTCCAATATCACGGTTTGGAGGGGTTCAAACAACACTCCGTCACTTGTACGGATCACCTTTCCGATCCAAATTGATTACGGCTTGGAGCGTGGAAGCTTGGGGTTCGCGCCTGAGTGGAGCCGCCTCGGGTGCAGATCTTGGTGGTAGTAGCAAATATTCAATATATATCTCACATACCCAGAGGCAATGAAAACGCAGTTGCATTTTCAAAGGTCAACTTTATTAACATTGGAAAATTACAAAGGATTTGATATGTATGTTAGCAAAGTCCAAACACAGTAAAGAATTTCTGACAAACCAGTGTCCACTATTATCAGTTTCAACACATTTACACGTGACTGACTGAACAAGCTGCCAGTACCTGAGCACGAACACAAGCTTGCAAACATCTTGGGATGGAATGACACAAACGACTGATGAAATGATTCGGAATATCATTCAAGTGATTCTGCAGTGCGCCTGTGTGAGCTCAGCAACATTGCGGAGTGGAATCTGCGGATGTCTCACGCGCCTACGAAGTCTACCGGAGGGCCACTGCATGACTTCCTCATTTATGTTCTTTAGGAATTTCCGTGTCAGGATGGCTGTGTGTGGCCGAGCATGGTCATGCTGAAAGGATAGTCGGTTACCACCATGCTCTCTCAAGAAAGGAAGAACTGGCTGGAGAACAGTCACGACGTCAATGTGCCTTGCACAATAACAAACAGTGGACTAAAATCAGCATTTATGGCACCCCAAACCATTACTCCTCCTCGACCAAAACGATCTCACTCAATCACACAAGGTCACACAAAACGTTCACCTTGGAATCGTTAAACACGCTGGCGTCCATCTGGAAAATAGACGTTAAAGCGAGACTCATCAGACAAAAACAAACCAAAACATTCCTCCAGCTGACATTGCCAATGAAACCGCCTGCTGCAGCAGCCCATCCTGTCGTTGAAGTCGTTGATGCTGAGTTAAGATCTGGTAAGGTCGACGTGCCCGTAATCCTGCTGCGGCCAGACGTCGACACACGGTTCGGCTGCTGATGGGTCTCCCTCCTGTGCCAAAAGTGTTGTTGGCAGTCTACGCAGCTGTCTGGAGCCGATGTCGGAGGTGTTTTAACGACGATGTAGCGGTCCTGACGTTCACTGGTCACACGCTGAACACCAGGACGTGACCGGTCCTCCACCCTGCCAGTGACTTATAGCGCCTTATGAGACGACTTACAGTTGATGGATGCACGTTAAAATGCTGTGCGACGTCGGTCTGGGAGTGCCACCTCGCAGCATGACTTGATGTCTCTGATCTTGTGTTAATCAAGGCATGGTTCATATCTGTGGCAATATCAAATCACACTGATTTGATAGGGGACAATAATGGACTGCGTGCATGGAGTATCAAAATGCATGCCATGCACGTGCATGGCAGACTGCCACTTTAATATGTGTTCTGGCATTTCTCTCATGACGTTGTGCACAGAACCAAAGAATGGCAGTAGACCATTATCATGCTAAGGTATGATTTCCATTACCTAATAACTTTCTTTTATTTTATGGGACGATTGTACGATAGAAAATGATGATTGCGTTTTCATTGCCTTTCAGTATATATTCAAAAGACTCCAACCATGTTTATAACTATGTCTTTAGTCCGCCTTATAGTGATATGTACAACAAAATGTCTTGTCTTGTTCCGCCTTTGGGAATAAAAGTAAAATCTTATATTTCTGCTGCTGGTATTAAGTTAGATAATATATCCCCCTTCCGCTTGCTTTCTTCTCCTTCTTGGCACAGGTTGACCTAACTCTGACAACGTTTGATAAAACAGAAAGTAATGAATTACAATTGAAACTCGAATTTAGTCAGTTAAAAAGTAACTATAATACATACAAATTCTTGTTTACAGATGGATCCAAGGATGGTGGCTCCGTGCCACTGTCACTGGATCCAGAACAATATCTTCCAGGTTACCATTTTGTCACAGCAGAAGCTGAAGCAATATTAAGAGCCCTAAAATATATTAAAAATACCCTGATGGGTCTAAAGGTGGTGCCGCAGTAGCTTGTGCCACTGTCATTTGATCCAGAACAATGTTTTTTCGATTGCCTGATAACAGCTCTATTTTCACAGCAGAGCTAACGCCATATTAACAGCCTTAAAATATCTTAATAAACGTCCTAAATATAAGCAGTATATACTCTTTTCAGACTCCCTTTCGTGCCTTCAGGCTATTAAAAATCTCTTATAAACATTCACTTTTACAAGAACTTATTGAATTATATGATGATCTTGCTAATGGCCAATACGACATGGTCCTCTGTTGGTTATCTAGCCACGTTAGAATTTCTGGTAACGCAATGGCCGATTGTGTGCGAAGGCAACACTCAACCATCAGCAATGGATCTTTTAACATTAATTATCATTTCGTTCTTGCATTTTTAAAAGAAATAGAATTGTTGCATTAATTTTGAAATGTGTTTTGTAAATAAATGCATGTTATATCATTGTTAATTTAGATTATCATCTACGACTGTTAGTGGCTGTATCCTTAAGGAAAGTTAAAGTACATTAAAACTATTGTCCTAATGAGAGGATACGTAAGTCCCAAAACCATCAAATGAAATGCAAACTTACCAGATGTTGTTTTTCTGTGTTTTAAAGTATGGCTAAATTTTCCTACAATCGCAAACGGCTGAAGAGATGGTGTAAATCCATCTAGGGTCCATGCAGGTAGCAAAGACACTGTAAGTCCCCGAGGTCCCGCTTATCGTGATCTACCTTCAGTTGTTGGCGATCTATAGCTCTTGTTTTATATAGCATTGTCTTTTTTAATTAAAATGTTTTAGTTTTACATGCTAGTGTTATATTCATATCTGTGATACTCTAGTATTTTTACTGTCCAACGTCGACAGGTTTTACTATTCAGAATGTTTTCATCTGTATTGTATAAATTGTTTTCGTCACGATATGACTGAGACATTGCCGATGTGACGTTAAATATTAAGTCACTCACTCACTCACTCACTCATATACGAAAATATGTAATAGTCATCTGCTTATGTATATAGTGATGACGAGACTAGTTCAAATTGCTGATGGAGAAAGAGATTGAAGCATGCCATCATCATGTAAAATCTGTAAATCTGTGCAAAGTGAATCAACTTTAAGATGTAATAAAAATGCATTTTTTCAGAAATCGTATTTTTATATATTTTTGATCATTGGAAAAACATTAGTAAGATATAATTGATCAAGTAAACATACATATATATTATTTACAGTCGTATATTACACAACCCCGACAGCACTGCGAATATTCTGCTTCGATTTACTTGATTCAAAACAAGAGAAACGTACAGATATTAAAGTAGTGGAGACACAAGTTTGTATCATCGGTTATACTTGTACAGTGGACTCTGTATAATCCGACACTCACTGGGACCGGGCAAAAATGTCGGATTATACAGAGCGTCAGATAATTCAATGTCTCCTTGCTGGTATACTTTTCAAACAGTACCGTACATTGCAACTGACTTATATTATGAAATTGATGCTTAATAGCCATTTACTTGGTAAATAAGTGAAAAATACAAATCCACCTGATTGTGTCAAGGACTGATCAATTTGCAAAGCTCAGCTGTCTTGTAACAGTCTTCCATCCTGACGATAAGTGACTTGAGAAGTTGTCGTCGATACCTTGAATGCCTTGAATGCTCGAATCATCCTGTCCCATTCATCCTGTGCTTGACAAAACAGCTAGCTAGGTCCTCATAGTTGGCCACTCAGCTTGTAAAAACAAAGGTACAGGCGTTCTAATTCTAATTCTAACGCTCCTGATTACCTCCCAATTAGGAATGTTTAAATGATGATAATATGGAAGAACGCTGCCGGGACCCAAAAATATGTCGGAATTCACAGATTGTCAGATAATTCAGATGTCGGATTATACAGAGTCCACTGTATAAGTAAAGACATTAATCTTACAAATACAGTTACTAGTCTTTCCTGACCTCCTAGATGGTGTAGTGGAGAGCCGAAGGTCGCGGGTTCGATCCCCGACCGCGTCATACTAAAAGACATTAAAGTATGGTACTTGTTGTTCCCTGCCTGGCGCTCGGCATTAATGGGCACAACAAGGACTGGTCGGCTCGGAGACAGTATAATGTGTCTGAGTGGGGTATTCATGCTTAACTGCGACATGGTATCTCAGTGAGCCAGCGCTATAAAACCAGCTTAACCCTGGGCTAGTACAAGCAGCCACAAATACACACGCATGCACGTCGTGCGTATCAGCGAAATACTTTTAAATACGAATTTAAACCCAGTTTCACCTCACTAATCTTTCGTGTCGTTTTACTTGCCATTAAAGTTGACCTCCCTCATATGGTGAGTACGCTGCTTCGAACAGTATTTCACCTGACAGAGTATGGTCGAACACCCATTTTAGAAATATTCCTGCAATATCACGGCGAGGGACATCAGAAATGGGCTTAATTTGTGAAATGAACTTAAACGTGAAGGCTACGGTAAAGCTGTCCTAACGCGTAAGCTGTGCAAGACATTTCAGGACTTGAGAGCACAAAACAAACGTGGTTACTACAAGAATGGTGTTCTTGTGGAGACTGGCACTATCCACAATACTGGGATATCTAAGGACGGGTCTGGAGGTAGCAGATCTGTTAACAACGATCACGTCACCAACGTTTCCAGCGTAGGGAGAGACCTCGCCCAGGCAGGTGCCTGTGAAACTAAAGCAGACAAGAAGTTTATTTTTTTTAATATATCAGGTTTTCTAAATAAATCATGGGATAATTAGCTCATAAACTTCATAGCGAATATTTAATTGTCGGACTATGTGTGACATGGACAACTGACTACCCATTTGATGAGATATTTAGTAAATGGTCTACAATCACAGATAATGCTGTTTTTGTAATGGTCGATAAACTTGCATTCGGCCTTGATAGGATCCTCGATAATCTCCAGGGTATACATTCCGATAAATCTCTACTATACCCTGGATGCATCTATGGCTATGATTTTACTACCTCCCTTGGCTGGCTTTTTATCCAATCAGGTGTCTACGCTGGGAGGTTGAGGTACCAATCACAACTTACTTTCACTTCTTTTATCTAACCGTTTAACTTGGCAACATAATTGTTGCAGAGATACTATGAAAGAGGCAGAAAGAGTTCTTGCATATATTTTTAAAGTTTCAGACCTGTCAATTTGTCTGTATGATTCCCCCAAAGATCTGAGTCGCACTTGGAACAAACCTTCGCGGCTGCGACCTATCTTT